ACGACACCCCCGTCCACCACTCACCCCCACCACGACACCCCCCCACCCACCACCAGCCCCCACTCACCCCCCCACCCACGACACCCCCACGACACTCACCCCCGTCGACACCCCATCACAGACACCCCCTTCCTCCCCCCACAGACACCCCCCGTCACACACACCCCACAGACACCCCTGTCCCCTGTCACATCCCCCCCACAGACACTCCACCACCACATCCCCCCCTCAGACACCTCCAGATACACACCCCACAGACACTCCCCATCACAGACACCCCCAGACACCACCTCCCCCACAGACACCCCCCGTCACACACACCCCACAGACACCCCCGTCACATCCCCCCACTGACACCCCACCACCACATCCCCCCCACAGCCCTCCCACAGACACCCCCAGACACATCTGCCCCACAGACCCCCCCAGACACCCCCTAATCCGTCCCCACATACCTCATTCCTACATCCCTCCCAAAACATCCCTCTGTCCCCCCACAGACACCCCCACAACAGCCCCCCAACACCATTCCCAGATACCTCATTCCTACACCCCCCCCAACATCCCCCAGCCCCCCAACAGACACCTCCTACACCACACCCCCTATATTGTCAACAGACACCTCATTCCTATACCCCCAGACACCCCCTCAATATCCCCCTGCCCCCCCACAGACACCCCCAACACCGTCCCCAGACACCTCACTCCTATACCCACAGACACCCCCTACACACCCACAACAATCTTCCAGACACCCACACCACACCCCCAACCTTAACTGAGGTGAGGCTGAGAGATGGTCATGATTGCTGTGGGTACTGGGGGATGAATTAGTATGTTGGGGTTGGTGAGCAGCTGGAAGCTCCATGCTATCAGGCAGCTGGGAGAGCTCCTACTTCGGGGGCCAGTATCCCCACACTGAGGGAGTTGGCAAAATTACTAGTCCCATGCACCAGGGTGAGGTGGAGAGTCAGGGGAGGGTTCTCTGAATCCCAGGCAGGGAGGAGCAGCAGCAGCAACACCTTTTCCAGGTAAGGGATGCAGTCCTGGCATCCGTCTCCTCCCAACAAATGCCTTCTTTGACCCACCAGACACCCAGTTAGCTTCCTTTCAGGCTCCTCCCCACCTGGCTACCACCAGTCAGCCCCAGCTCCCCTACTACCTCAGCGCACTGCCCCACCTGCCCTCTCAGATCCCTGTGTGCTCCCATAGGGGCACCGGGGTGTTGTCCCAGGAAGAGACAGTCCTGGATGGATATAAGGGGAAGTCCTGGCCAAATCAGAACCGCTGGGAAGTCTGGTTTTAATCATATTTGTTATTTAGGCTTTTGTGCATCGGGTTCTGAAATCAGTATTTGGAAAAGGTGTGGGGTCACTGTTGACTGGGGCTGGCTTCTTGGGGTATGTCTACACTGCATTGTAAACCCGAGTCTGGGGATTCCGAGTTTCCAAGCTCACGCTTGAGCATCCACACTGCATTGTAAACCTTACAATTGCTGGACCCAGGTCTCACGGCCATGTTAACTCAACTATAGTGCACTACACAGACCTTCTGACTCAAGTCTGCAGCTTGAGCTGCATCCACACTGCAAAATGACAGGGCTTGGACCCAAGTCATAGCAGGATTCAGGCTCTGACCCACCCCCTAGCAGCATCCTAGGACCCAGGTCCTGAGTGCTTGCTGACCTGAGTCAGACTGATTTGTGTGTGGACAGAAGGGGGACTTGGGCTCAAACCTGAGTCAGATTCAGAGTCTGGTGTAGTGTTCGGTGTAGACATACCCTAGGAATCTCATTGACCTTCTCCTTGGGGGCACTGGGAGCCCTGCAGTGCCTCCACTCTCCCCAGCCATGTGGGCTAGGAGAAATAAACCGCAGGGAGGAGCCAGCCAGAAACTGAAGCTGTCAGAGCAGCTTAAGCAAGTACTACTGCATGGGAGGGTAAAATGGGGCCTAGACAGGGCCACCCCTCCTACCCAGAAGAACTGTGCAGGGGAGACCCCTCCTCTGGCAGCGCTAGGACCCATGCAGTGTTTCTTCCCACCTCCAGCTATATGGCCTTTGGGAAAGAACCAGCACAGAGGAGCCAGCCAAGTTGCCAACCAAAAATTGAAGCTGCAGAGCAATTGCAGGAGTATGAACACCGATAATATCTTCCACAGTTTGACTGATCTATCTCTGTCCTCAGCTGATCATGTTTTGCTCCAACCCCCTGCCTCACGGTCTCCTCCCCTCAGGTACCTTTGCCTCCCTCCATCCACTGCACCAGAATATGAGCTCAATGCAATTAAAGATCATGCTCCGACTCCAGTGGCCAATCTGCCCCAGATGTTCAGCATTCCCAATTTAGGGAAAGTTTGCATGGGGAAATTGACCTGAATAGCTATTGTGGAGTACGCTAGTCTGCAGTGCCTCCCTGTGTGAACCTCTTATTCTGGAATATGAACATCCAACAAGAAGCTATTCTGGTATAGCTCTTTACACTTTAAATTCACACCCCCACTTTGTTCTGGAATAACTTCCCCATGGACCAGCCCCTACTTAGTGAATGCTTCTTGCAGTGTCACAAGCTCATGATTTTATCATGAACCTTGAAATATCTTGTGTTTCTCTTAAAGCCCCAGCTCCTAGAGTCAGGTGATCACATGAGAATCTCAGCCTTCAGTTACATAATAAGTAAGCTTCTATCCCCTGTGGTGGCAGAGAAAAGCTTGAAAATGTGAACCTGAAGGTTCAAAAACCAGAAAGCAAATAATCAGAATATTATTTTTAAGTCAATCTCATGAGTTTTGGGGCCTAACTCATGGTTTTTGAATGTTTAGGCCTTGTGACCCTGCTCATATCGCGCTTTGTTTCACAGCTGATTCTGTGTGTTAATATCCTAACCCGCTGCTGTCCAAGGGGCATGTAACTGTCTGCTGTAGAAATGAAGTCGGGAAGCATAGTACTGGCAGGAAATCAAGATGCTTTCATATCCAACCATTTCCCTTCCCCCAGCCTTGTTTCTTTCTCTCTATTCAATGTATTATGTTTTGACTGTACCCCTTTGGACTTTTCATAAACGTTGGCTCTAAACATTAGTCCCAGGGGACTGTCTCTTTGTTCTGGGTTTGTAACCACCTAGAACAATGAGGTTCAAATAATAATAATAATATAATATAATATAATATTTGTATTTGCATTATTTGTTTATCATTCCTTTGCCACCACAGTGTTGCTTAGTGGTTAGAGCACTGACCTGGGACTCAGGAACTGTTCCTGGCCCTGCTACTGGGTAACCTTAAACACAGCACTTCACTCCCCAGTGCCTCAGTTTCCCCATCTGTAAAACGGTGATAATGATACTGACCTTTCTAAAGTGTTTTGATATCTATTTATGCAAAGCACAATATAATAGCTATGTATTAAATATTATTTGAATGTTGCAATGTTCGGAATTGCCACTAGGTGGCAACAGTATCACAATAATGCCATGCAGGGTTTCATAAGGAATTGGGAAACTTAATTAAGCCTGGCACGGTGAGTACCTATTAATTATTATTATTTAGTGCCAGTGCTGTGTGAGTCGCTTCACAGACACAAGAGGAGCTGGCAGCAGCCCCTATATTTAAGCTGCCTAATACTTTTCGTTATACAAGATTATTGCAATTTAAAAAAAAAAATTAAAAGGTTATACAGCTCTGTTGTTGGCAGCAGGCCTTTGACCTTCAGTGGGGATGGCCCTGGGGCCAGGGAGGTACAATCTGTTAGCCTTATGAAACTCCCTTCAGATTTGTCCAAGTTATAAACTGCTGAAAATTGCCGTTTCTCATCTGTGGCTTGGGTAGTATAGCTGGATTTGGGCATCACATCAGCCCCCCCGTCCCAAATATTCAAGGCCTGTATATGCACTTAGTCCCAGCGTCTCTCTGCAGCATACTGTGCACTGGCAATCCACTACTCCTGCCAGAGGAGTTGTAATAGCAAGGGAGCGCTGGAGCCAGGCTCCTCCCTGCACAGATCAGCATGTGGCTCCAATGGCCCACGT